CACACACACCCACCCATACACAATCTTCTCATACCCACCTAAGCACGCTCACCAACACCTATACCCAACACCAACCCTTAAATGTGAATTGCCACCCATACCCATGCTAAGTGTATAACCACAAACAACACCCTTAAATGCTAAGTGCTACAAAAAAATGTTTGTACAACATAAATAGAAAATTCATAAATCAAACGTTATTGCCAATAAATGTTTAGGGTTTAGGGCTTAAGATTTGTAGCTTTTGGTTAATGGTTTAGGGTTTGTGCCATATGACATAAGTCCTATGACTTAAGTCCTACACCCTAAGCCATAAGTCATACACCCTAAGCCCTAAACCATAAGAATTAATCTATATGGAATACGCAATAAGCCATACAACCATAAGCATTAAGTTATAAGCCATATGCCTGGAGCCATAATCCCTAAGCCATAAGCCCTAAACCATAAGCCTTAATACATAGGCCATAAGCCATACACCCTAACCCCTAAGAGACAAGCCTTAAACCTAAGTTATACATAACTCTAAAGCCCCACGTCATACATGACAAGTTAGGAGCTTATGGGAATAAGTGTACAAGTATTTGTGTGTAGGGGTATGGGTGTAGGTATAGAGGTAATGGTATGTGTGTAGTCATGAGACAAAAGTCTTAAGCCCTTAGTCCTATACATCAAATCCCAAGTCATAAGAAATAATTCATACACCAAAAGTCATATGACTTAAGCCTTGGTCTATATGTCATAAGCCATAATACATAATCAATAATTCATACACCACACGTCATAAGCCCTAAGCATAATCCCATAGACATAATACTTAAGACATAAGCCTTAAATCATAAGACTTAAGCCATAAGCCATAAACCATAAGCAATATGCCATAAACTATAACATATAAGCACTACTCCTTAAGCCATAGACCATAAGTCATAAGCACTAAGCCTGAAGTCCTAAGTCATAAGCACTAAGCCTGAAGTCCCACCTACATCTACACCCAACACCACCCCTAAATGCTAAGTGTCACCATAACCAGACACCCCGACGTACAAACCTACACCAACACCTGCCCCACCCTACCCTATCCCAAATCCCTATATATATATATATATATATATATATATACACACACACACACACACACACCCACTTCACCCCAACTCACACATATAATCATATCCCCACCAACACTCCTTATATCCACTCCAACCCACCCATACATATACCTACCTCACCATACTCCTACCTAGACCCATATACGCATCCACACCTAGACTCACACATTTCATTAATGTTTTTTATTTATTAGTTGCAAATTATTAGAAATATAGTTTTAAATTTATACATCATATGCCAATAATAGTATACTTTTTGTTAATTGTTTTATAATAGCATATTTACGTCACAAATTCACATACACATATACATACACACATACATATTTACATACATATACAAAAAAATAATAAAAATACAAAAATAATAATAATAATAATAAAGTTAATAATAATAATAATAACTAGAATTTAAAAAATTAAAATGTTGACATTTATTTTTAATTCAGTTGGATATTTCCAACGTACTCCGCTCCCCCAAACTTTGGCTATAGTTTAGATTTCAAAGTTCCCCCAAAAATTTGACCAATCTCTCACCACCCGCCAATCGATATCAGTTCCCGCTCATACCGAACTTCAATGTATGCTTCACATATTCTATGTTGCGTTTCATATTCATCTACATCCTGGTCCGTCGTTCTATGCACCACCACCGGTCTAACGCCTCACCACCGCTCAACCAAAGCTTAGCCTTGCTGGCAACCTTCACCGATCCACCTCGCCTCTGTTGTCATCGATTGAGGAAGGCATCAGCGCCACATTCAATCCCAAAAAAGGAAAAAAAATCAGATTTGAATACCTAAAATCAAAATCAGTTAGACCTAAATCCATTTTTTTAGTGTTTTTGTGGTTATAGTTGAAGCTTTATAAGATTTATTGGGGTTCTGTTTCCAGATTTGCAATTTGGAATCCATTGATCCAAACAAGTTAATTACATCTGGTGGTCAATTGGTGCGAGCATCTATTTTCATTTGTAAATTATAGTTATTTTAGTATCGCATATCAACTGTTTGATGATTTGCCCAAATGAAAACTTAGATCACTAAAAATGAGGTGTTGGTCAAACTTAGTACTATGTTCCACCTATTTAACCAATTGTAGCATTGCTCTATGATTTGTTTTTCGGAGAACTAATCATTTATGGCATTGCACCTTAGTGTTATTTGGAAAACTAGCCAATTGTACCAGTAGATTTTGAGTTTTTTTTAACCAACCCAATTTTAGCATTGCACTTTGTATTTCTTTTTTAAGATCATATCACTCATCTCTTACCACCACCACCACCATATTGTATAAAAATAATTGTTTGTAAATTTTATGATGTATGTTTATAATATTTATAGTTTTCGTCGGAGCTTGCAAAAAAGGATAGTTACTTACATAAAAGAGAAGAATATGTTTCGTGAATGTTTGTTTTAGTGTACATGCTAGTCATTAAAAATCAACTTTAACTATTGGTTTTGTACATGACATCACTCCAAAATAGGTCCCAACAGTTAAACTGTTGTATAACAAAAACTCATTTGATAGGCAATTCCAACAATCTTCAAACGAAAAAATGACATTTTTTTTTGCAAAAAGTATCACAAAGTCTAATCATACGTAATGCAATTTGGGTGGGACACAATAACTCTATAGAAGTCAAATTGTCAACTTGTCAACAAAGGGTATTTTGGTGTTATTTATTTTTGTTAACCAGATTCTTAACCAAGTTCAAAATATATTAATAAGTCACCGGTAAATACTTACAACAACACATTTTCGTTTTATGATGACTATTCTTTAACTTTAGACATACAGTAGCACGAAAACAATGACCATTATATAATCATAGTCATACATTCAATGATCATACTATAATTATATTGATCACAAATTATTTTTCTTTTATAACTAGATTTACCTATAGACACACATAATAATTTTAACTATAACCAAATGCCACTTACACTCACAATTTTTTTTCAAGACAATTCATCGTATTTTGACACACATAATAAAAGGTACATGACCATAAATAACCAATACTAACTTGTTTTCTTTTCTTGCGTTAACTAAGTACAACTAGTACAGAACCCCCTATGGACACACAAATGTTTAGTGTGACCATATGTATCACATTTTAGCTACTTTGTTTGTTATGTGGCTAAAAAGGCATCAGGTTATAGACACACATACAACTGACTCATGTCATAATATGTTTATCTATTGTCTCTCATAAAAAAAGTATGACAATCGTAATCGATACCTGTGGCTGATTGTGACCTGCGGCCTCAGTGTTCGAGTGTGACTAATATTTGTCACATTTGGTATAATTAAGTGTGGTTAAAGTTTTGATTATCTATATAATGGCCACATAAACTAATTTAAATGTATCCAAAAACAGTCTCTAAATTTTTTTAGTGACCTTTGGCCACACTTTTAATAAAAACTGTCACAGGCCGTTTTTCGGAAAGTGTGACCGTAGGTCTTTTTTGTACTAGTGTATATAGTTTACAAAGTACGGTGTCTTAACGAGGAAAAGGTTAGAAGTACAATGTTGTAATCAGAAAAAAATGACACGGAAAGGTAAAATTATTGTTTTTCATTCAACATAATATTTAAGATGCTCCAATCAAACAATATGTTATAAATTCGGACCCCCTAACATCTCTTAAAAATTCAAATCCTCCAAAAAAAAAATCTTCTTTAGTTTGCTAAAATTTGTAATTTTGTGGGCAATATAATATCAATCACATCTTTATTCGGGACCATCGTTGGGTCCAAGTGACCCTCCACGCATGTAGGCACCAGTATCACCCATACAAGAATATGCGAATTTTACAAAAGGCCTACTTTTTCCCTTTTAACTTTATTACTATTTATTAACTATCTTTTTTCTGCTGATTAACCTTGATAATAACTATAAACTATAGGTTTCACTTTCAGTATTAAATTTGGGATGTAAAATTTTGAAAATTATGCATCTACAATTCATTATGTTTTATCCCATAGTTTATAAAGTCTTTTATTATAAAAACATATACCGTACCAACATGTATTAAACAAATGAGCTTATAAGTTATAAGTCTAGAAAAACAGCCTAAATTTACATAACCAAATCACAATATTTAACCGATATTAATAGTGGACTCGTAATTAACAAATATCATTAATAGTTGGAAGAACAGAAATGCGACGAACATTCTAGTTAGAGTTTAGACAGATCCGAAAATGAACGTATCTCGTATTTGTTTGATCACTATCTATAAAAAGTAGCCATACATAGTTCTTGACTTTTATACCGAAAACAAAGTACATATTTAATTGGATATGGTAGAAGGTGCTAACAAATGTAACAGCGTACATATATAATTGCATATGGTACAAGTTGCTAATTCTTGAAGATAACCCAACGATATACCTTACCTAAAATAATAAAGATAAAAACAAAAGATAAAAGAAAATTAGCCAACGGGCAACTCTTACGTGTCAAAACCCCAGAAAGTATCATAATGCCGTCCCGATTCAGCCACGTGGCAGACTGTGTTGCGTATGCTCCGCTGGTGTGGTCCATCATAAACTGGGCCCCTCGTTAATGCCGCATAAATCGACGGTTTTCTATGTCAAATGGCCCACTAAATGGACCCACTCTCCACCTTCATTAAGCTTAAGTGGGGGCCACTCATGCACCATGACTTTGAGTCCACCACATTAACCCTGGACCCATCTACACCTAAGACCTGCCCACTTTGTGGGCCCCACTTTACACGTAATCATCTTCACTCACGTGTTCACGTTCTTGACGATAATGGAAGGGAAATGAAAGAAAGAAGAGGTCTGGTTATTGCTCGGAAGGTGTTCCATGGTTTACCTGAATGAACGAAAACTCCTTTCTTTCGTGAAGATTCATCGGAAAATCTGTGAAAGATTGAGTATTTGTGGTAGTTGTAGTTGCCGAGGCGGAGGTAGTGGTTGTGAAATGTGTTGTGTTAATTGGTGTTGGACTGTTGGTTTTTGGTCATCGGAGGTAATGAATGAGATTGGTGTGGCGGAGATGTTAAGAAATGGAGTTGTAGAAGGCTGAAACGCCCAAAACGCGGCGGTTCCGTTGTAGGGTATGGCCCATACCGGGATGAAAGATTGAGGTTGTGCGGTTGTTGTCATGAGAGGAGCGAGAACGGAGGTGGTAACCGTGGTTGGAGTGTTTTCGTTTCGGTTTATGTCGAAATCAGAAGGGAGTTTTCGTTTATTTGGGATTGAGGTGTTGGTGGCGGCGGCGGCGGAGGTGACGGTGCTGATGGTGTTGGTGGGGATTTTGAGGGTACCGTTGACTGACATAGCAATGGCCGGAATGGTACCGGTGCCAGTGGCGGCAATAATGGAGGGCTCAGCGTGCTGTAAAAGCCACTGGATTGTTTCTCCGTCGGACTTGTGGCCAAGTTCTCTGGTCAGCTGAAATATCCGTGCGGCGCAGGTGGCCGGCATTCGGATCCTTCTCCCCCTACCCTCCACTTTTGTGTGGCGGTCCTTGGTGGACGACCTCCTTGGCGGCGGAGGTGGAGGTGTGGTAAATACCTTTTCGTCCGATAAAGGTTCTTTCTTCAATGGAATCAAGGAAAGCCCATGTGGGGAAGCAGCTGTTTTGGATGGGTTAGGTGGTGGTGGTGGCGGATGGGCTGCGGACGGCGGCGATGGTGAGTTCATGATATCGGAGACGAAAATGGAGAAGAATTAGAAATGGGTTTGCTTTGAATTATTCTCTGAAATCAAGAAAGAGAGATGGGGATTGAGTAAATGATGGTGAAAACAGGGCCCCAGGATTTGGACCACCATACACATTACAAGGCAACTTCTTAAAGTTTTGCGTGAGGGCAAATGGTACGAAAGGTGTTCCGATGAAATGGCGGACCCACATTTTGCACTCATTTGCCGTAAGATAGTGTTACTTAGAATGTGGTAGAAAAATGTTAAAACGTGACATTTAAAGACGTTGTTGATAGTGTTACATTTCATACTTATTCATTATTACGAGAGTTAATTGCAACTCTCCCTTTGTATCAAAACTTATTATTTCCTTCAAGATATTTCATTATATGCAATTGGGCATTGTTGGTCCTAGAGTGTATCTTTATGGCAAGTTTCGTCCTTGGCACTCATGTTATGTACCCATGATGCAAATAGGGGTGAATGTTGGTTAGGGATGAGCGTGGGACGGAACAGGTACCGAACCGTCCCGTTCCCGATTTCCCGAATACCGAATTTGATCGAAAGTTAATCCCGAGTACCGAACCGAAATAACATCACCGGTACCGGTACCGGGAATGGTACCGGTACTCGGTACTAGTACCGGTACCGGCGGTACCGATTCCCGAATTTCATGTATTTGGAGTACCAAGTACCATCCCGTATTTTTAAATTCGGTACGGTTCAGTACTGGTTCCGGTACGGTACCGGTACTGGATCGGGATTTGGGACAAACTGTTCATCCCTAATGTTGGTGGAGACTATGATCCTTGTCACAACACCCAAACTCATATTCTCACACCAATCCCAATATGTCACACCCCCAAACCTAGACGGCGGAAACGTTCGGGGGTGGATGACGTCATGTAATGTATCATAACAATTGCATCATAGTAATCAAAGTAAACACAACCATTACATTGAATATATACAAAGCTTTTACATCAATTGATTCATAGTTGTATACATCAAAAGTATAACAAAAAGCAAAAGAACGTCACTCTATCTGTTCCGTCTTCTCAAAGCGTGTTGATGTACCTGTTTATTGATTTCCTGAGAATACAAGCGGTTTTAAAAGAGCATCAGCATAAAGCTGGTGAGTTCATAAGCATGTTTTTGTATTGAAAGCCTGTCTTTGAATCAGTAAAAATGTATGTATGTTTCTCAAGAAAATCCGATATTTTCTTAGTAGTGAAAAGTAGTCTTAAACCCTAAGACCCAAAATGTATGTTCGATACTGAATTCTGTAATTGTATATGAAAATCCCTGGTTACCACCAGCAAAGTAATGTTCTGTTATGAAAACCTTGGCTACTACAAGTATGTATAGAATGTTTTTGTATGAAAACCCTGGCTACCACCAGTATGTATAGAATGTTCTTGTATGAAAACGCTGGCTACCACCACTAATGTATAGTAGTTTTATGAACAAATTACTGAAATCGTCCCTGTGGTTTGGTTAAAATTGCGCGTTTGTCCCTAACTTTTATTTTGCACTCGGACCATCCTTACTGTTTGATTTTGTTGCGTTGTTGGTCCCTCGTAAACATAAAAAGACTATAATACCCTTTATATTTATTTTTTCACTTTTTTTTAGTTTTTTGATATTATTTATTAATTATTAAAAGATGTATTAATATAGTAGGTCCCACCATCACCATCACCACCACCTACTATCATCAAAAACCCACCAGCTACCAGAAAACACCACCGATGACCACTAGTCACCAGCTGCCAACCCCTCACCCATCACCTCCGATAACCAACACCACCACCCACCTATTCTGGCAACACCACCACCCGCCTATTCAGTCCGCCCACATCATCGATTTCATCAGGTGACACCCCATTTACATCCAACAACCACCATGTTCACCTCCGACAATAACTAGCATTCACTTCCTGCAACCACAATTGATCGTCACCTTGACCAAATCAAAATCAAACCAAAACCATGATCAAAACACATAAATCAAAACCAAACAAAGATCAAATTCTGAAATTAAAACCTAGCTAAAGTCAAATCCTGAAACCGTAAAATCAGAACATAAACGGAAACCAAAATCAAATCCGAAAATTATAACCTAAATGTAAACCTAACCTAAAATCGGTGATGAAATCCCAAAAATCAAATCGAAAAACAAATGGAGTCAAATTCTTGTATTTGAAATCGATGACGTCGCCGGATTAAACACATTGGGATTAATCAGAAAATGAAACACCTCACCAGATATCCCAAAAATCAAAGACCAATTTTCCAGATGATGAAATCGATTTTTCCAGGTGAAATCCACGTGGTCAGCGGAACAAGAAGAAATTGGATTAGACGGGAACGTGCGAAGGCGAAGAAGAACAATAGAGTTATAGGTTTTCGGTGGCTTTACAGTTGCAGGTTTCCGGAGGCGTTAGGGTTGCAGGTTTCCAACATCTTTACAGTTACAGGTTTCAGGCATTAAGGTTATAGTCATCTGGAGGAGCTGTTCACATGATGGCTAATGGAGGTTGCGACTTTCGGGATGAGAAGGCTCTGATGGGGAGTTGAGGTGAAGATCGTTGATTTAAGGTGGGATTCAGAGGGAGAGAGGTATATCTTGAAGCCTTGAACTACGATCGATATCTTCAAGTTACAGAGGGGAATGGGTAGACTGGGGGTGGTGGGGACGTGTGGAGCCCAACCTTTTTAACAATCTATAAAATACTTTTAATAATCTTTAAGAGTTTTTTAAATAGAAATAAAAAATAGTAAGGGTATAATAGTCTTTTTATGTCGAGTAGGGACGAAAAACGTAACAAAAAGAAACTATAGGGATGGTCCGAGTGCAAAATAAAAGTTAGGGACAAATGCGCAATTTTAACCAAACCACAGGGACGATTTCAGTAATTTGTTCTAGTTTTATTACTTAGAATAAAACCATGTATTTGTATCCCTGGGATCCTCCAGAGTAATGTATGATAGTTCTATTAATTAAAATAAAACTATTTGAAGAATTGAAATTCCGTAAACAAATGGTTAGTTTATATTGTTGTGAGTTCGTATAACCATACTTGATATGACTAGTGACCTCTACGACGTTCTTCAGGCGTCGGCCGATATGACATTTGTCACCCCAGGCATGCCTGCCTAACCGTAGCTAGCGGTTCAGGTGTGGGATTTTCAGTCCCGAATAGATCTATTCACAAATCGTTAGGCTAATCCATTGACGGTTCAAGTAAAAAAAAATCTCCATACCTTACGGATACTCGTTTAGTGAAAAATGTCATTTTTTTTAACTCTGAAAAATATAAATAAACAATAATAACGACAATTAGAATGTTTAATTGTTCATACTTCATTATTATAGCCAACAAAATTAAAAAGATGATTACAACATCCTCATGTGAGTTTTTTTGGAAACAGCAAATGAATTAACGGAGCCTACGCGTACTTTTAAACGTGCACCCCAGGTTCAAGCTCCGCAAAGCGGACAAAACCAGCCTCTGACGGGATTTCCATGGAAAATTCCCCCACAAGAAGCAATTAAAGAGGATTTATGGAGTCCCTCATGTGAGTTAAGAAACTAAAATAAAAATAAATTTCATTCTCGTGTTCTTGTAAAAAAAAAATCTTTGATCTTCATCGCTATCACCATCATATCTTCATAAACTAAGTATCAAAATCCATAAAAGCTTGGATTGTTTTATCATCTCTTATAACTTCAAACTTTGCAATATTTTTTTCTCTATTTAAATGTTTATCCATCAATAAATAAATAAGCAAAGATAAGTAGTATTTGTATGTTTAAGAAAAGTAAATAAAATAAAATATAAAAAAGTTATAATATAGAGAACCATGCCTACTTTCTCGTCTATAGCTAATATTGTGCACAAATTAACATTTCCAATGTATCAAGATGAAGCTCATAACGATGAAGAGTGGCATGTCTTCCGCCAACACTAAAGAGCGATTCAGAAGCAATTTTAGACACTAGTATAGCCAAAAATCTCTAACAATTTGTTACATAGTATGATATTTAAGACCATTAGTCATGAAAGAGGATGAAGGAACTGTAGACGCTAGTATAGCCAAAACATCTCTAACAACTTGTTATAGAGTATGATATTTAAGACCATTGGGCATGAAAGAGGATGAAGGAAACTTTTGCAGGATTATCCTAAGTCGAGTACACACGAAGAGATCTAATAGGAGTAAAACGTCACTTGTTTGCTATAAAACTGCTATAATTAGATCCCTTTAAAATAAGTGATTCATAACCCACCATAAGTGCATATCTTATACATTTTAACAAATGAAGGTTCCTAAAAGTGATCAAGCATTTCATAAAAGTGGGAAAGTTGCATAGACACAGGAACCAAGCAACCAAAAAATGGATCATAAAAGTGTATTGTGATAAGCAATTAAAGGTATTCTAGAGGTGAGAAGAAAGAGTAGAAGAAACCAAAATGATTATGAAGTGATTATAGAAACTTAAATGAAATACTATAATAAAATTCATTGAAAAGAAGAAAAGGAAATCTCGTTGTTCTATTTTTTTTATGTTTTTGTACTATTTTTCTTGAATTTTCTAGAACTACACCTTCAATCGTTAGGTTCAGTTTTGTTTTTAACAAACTTTAGAACCAAGCGAAATAAATTTTCTGGAATTTCACCATTTATTTGACTTGCTAAAATAACCTAAACAATATTTTACAAGGCTAAACAAAAGATCAAACTAACAAATGTTGTCAATGTTCAAAACACAAATTGGAAAGACATGATTGAAACACAAAAGAATGAACATCAAATAGACAAGACAAGTTTTTGTCTCATCATTGGAAGATCAGGTATGGTCAATGACTCACATGCAAGTGTATTGGTCATGAAAGAGGATGAAGGAAACTTCTATAGGATTATCCTAAGCCGACTACACACAAATGAGATCTAATAGTGGTAAAACCATCATTTACTTGTTATAATCAGATCCT